CCAATAAATGGTGCACATGCAATGAGATAACTTACTAAATTAAAGTCTGAACTAATGTAGTGAACTAAGTCTGAACTAATTCAGTGAATCTGTTGTAAAACTAACTCCAGTTACTTTCGGAAAAATCTTTGAGAAATTTTATTTGCAACCCTCCTTTACTATTTCATACAATGTAGGAATTTTTTGACGTCTAAATGTTGATAAAAATTTGACAGTAAATTTGCTATTTACTTCATCGATAAACTCTTGTGCTAAACATTTTAAACATTGGAAATTTAAATAAAATATAAAAATCTATTTAGAAAAAGCTTATACTATACTCACATTTTGCAATATGTTGATATCCATCTTACTCCATTGGTCCGTAACATTTGTTCTAATTTCACAGCAAGCTGTTTGTGATTTGTTGTGTTTGTACTATTTTATTATGTTTATATTGTTCCCTTTTTTTTACTTTGCTTTTCTGTGGTTTGAAATTGGTTTGAAAGTTATTATATTATATGTAATATAATTATTATATATTATATTTTATTAAAAAACTAGTAAATTATAAATAAAACTAGAAAATTGATATAAGGTAAACCAATAATAGTATGTAAATAGTAACACTTAGGAATTGTAACTTAGTAAATAAAAAATAGATTTTTTATTTATGTTTTTTTATGCGCCGTCTGGATTAGAAATTTCTTGATCGATTTGATGTTTTTGAAACTTGCAATAGGTGGAGTTGGCCATATATTTTTAAGATCAGTATCCTGTTCAACAATATTCCAGTGCTTCTTAACTATTTTATTTATGAGTTTTCCAACTTTTCCAAATGTTGTAAATGTCTCTTTTTCTCTTTCTTCTTTATATTTGTTGTAGATAAGTTCGTGTTGTGTATGTCGCAGTGCTTTTTTAAAACCTTTGTTAATAGATTGAATAGGGTAGCCTCGTATAACTAAAATTTGTGCTAATTGTTTTAGCTCTTTTATTAGGTTGTAATTGTTGGAAATAATCTTATTGTATCTTAACGCTTGGCTATATAAAAAATTGCTTTTTTGATGATGGGGATGGAATGAATTATAATGCAATAGTGCTGTTGTATCAGTTGCCTTTTTGTATATTGTTGTTTCTAACTGTCCATCTAGCTTTTTGTTAATTGTTAAATCCATGAAATTAATAGAAGTGGTAGAATTATTGAAAGTAAGTTTGATCGTTGGGTGGATGGCATTCATAAATTCGAAAACTTGTGTTAGTATCTCTGGAGGCCCATGAAAAATAAAAAATATATCATCTATAAAACGTTTATAAAAAGAAATCCACATTGAAAATTGGTCAATTATTTTCTCATCAATTCTTCCCATAAATAGATTAGCATAGGGTGGAGCCATACATGTCCCCATATAATAACTTAATATAAATTATATATTATTTAATAATTTAATATTAAATAATTTTTTTGACATTTTATATCAGTTTTTAAATGTTTTTCAGTTATAGTTTGGTTTTTATTTTAAATAATTAGATCAGTTCGGTTCAATTTTTTCGTTTCGGTTTTCACCCAAAAAACTTAACAATAATCAATTTTATGGATAAGTAAATGATACAATTTAAATATTATAAATAAAGTATTCTTTCAATTTAAAAATTTTTAGATTAAAAACTGCGGCCGTGTCGCAGTGGTTACAGCGCTTAAATTAAAAAATGGGGTCGTAGCGCATTGGTTACAATTACAAAAATTGGTTTGCTTTATAAGCAGGAGATCCAGAAGCCAATGGAGCTCTGAACATATTTTTTTGATACGTTTATGATAATATGCTTGCTGGCATGGTATATTTTTAAAAAGAATTTTCTAAATTGGCTACTAAAACAGGCACTTTCTATAAAACAAATGTTTAATGCATACTCTGAATTAATCAATGATAAGTTATTTTCAAATAGCAAATAATTGTTTAATGTTTAAGTTCTATTTTAGACTAGGTGCTGGTTCACGAAACTACAAAGAATTGGCTCAAATCATTGAACTTACTACAGGTGGTTTACATGCATCACCCCATCTTGTTACAAATCATGCTGACAATGATGCTATTGAATATGTTAGTTTTTCAATATTTTACTTTTATAAATTTTTTGCTATATACATATATATATATATATATATATATATATATATATATATATATATATATATATATATATATATATATATATATATATATATATATATATATATTTACAATAAAGATATTTATATATATATATATATATATATATATATATATATATATATATATATATATATTTACAATAAAGATATATATATATATATATATATATATATATATATATATATATATATATATATATATATATTTACAATAAAGAGATATATATATATATATATATATATATATTTACAATAAAGATATTTATATATATATATATATATATATATATATATATACAGTAGCGTCCAAAAGTTTGCGGACAGGCAAAAAAATAAGGAATTTAACTTAAATTTCAGCACATATTTCACTAAAGCCAACATATTATATACCAATTAAAAGGTTTCCAAGTTAACAATTATGTTTTGAGCAAATAATGAATATTTAATTATCATTTTAAAATTGGTTAACAAAATGGCAATTTTTGATAAGTTCAAAATTTGCGGACAAACTAACGCTTTTAACATTTTCACCACAAAATAGCTAATTTGTTGATTTTATAAACAAATACTTTGTGGAAATAATTTCAAAACTTTATATATAAGTGATTGAGATCATAGGATCTAAGAAATGTATTTCATCTCCAGTAAAAAAATTGATCTTAAGATCAGTTCAGAATGGAAACTTGTTTCGTAAAGCAGCACAGCTTTATGGAGTTGGTAAGTCTGCTGTTGGACAAATTATGAAGAGATTTGAGCTTACTAGATCTACAAAGAATAAAAATCAATCAGGAAGGCCACGCAAAACAACGCGTTATCAGGATAAAAAGCTTGTAATACTAAGCAAAGAAAATTTCCATTTGACAGCTGTCGATTTAAACGTACAAATGAGAAGTTTCTAATATATAGCATTTTCACTAATATATAGCATTTTCACTAATATACAGCTAAATCGGTTTTAGAGTTTTTTAAAGAGAGTAAAGTTAATGTTTTGAAGTGGCCATCCCAATCACCTGACTTAAATCCCATTGAACATCTATGGGAACATGTTGACCGTCAAATGAAAGGAATTAAGCCTACAAATTATGCTGATTTATTTAATAAAATCAAAGAATTATGGGACTTAATTCCCATTGACGTTTGCATTAATTTAGTTGACTCTATGCCTCATAGATGCCAAGCTATTCTTGATTGTAAAGGATATCCTACAAAATACTAATGTGATTTTGCTTTTGCAAAAATTTTGATCAAATATTGTTGAAATATTTTAACTATTTTAAAAAATAATGCTTTGTCCGCAAATTTTTGAACTTATCAAAGATCGTTGATTTGTATACCAATTTAAAAATATTATTTAGATAATAATTATTTGTTCAAAACCTAATTGTAAATTTGAAAACCTTTTAATTGGTATATAATATGTTAGCTTTAGTAAAGTATGTGCTGAAATATAATTAAAATTCTTTATTTTTTTGCCTGTCCGCAAACTTTTGGACGCTACTGTATATATATATATATATATATATATATATATATATATATATATATATATATATATATATATATATATATATATATATATATATTTACAATAAAGATATTTATGTATATATATATATATATATTAGGGTGGGTCAAAAAAAATTTTTTTCTTGTTACAGGTTCTAAACATTGCTAATAGTTTTTAATATTGATACTATCAAATATGAGAATGATTGTGATAGATTTAAAGGGCGCAACTTTATTGGGAAAATTACCGGTACCCTAATATTTTTGAGAAAAAAAGTTTTTCAAAAGTAGATCAACCTGGTACTCTACAGAAGCGAAATTTTATAAAAAATTTGAAATTAATAATCGTTTTATAAAAAACTTAAAGGCGAAAAAAAATTTTATTAAAAAACATGTAAAAATGCACATTTTTTACTTTTAGTTGAAAAACTATAGTTATTATGCAATATAATCTAAAATAATAATTTTTATATGAAAAAATTATTATTTTTTAAATTTTTATAAAATTTCGCTTTATTTGAGTACCTACATCACATAATTTTGAAAAACTTTTTTTTTAAATAATAATAGGGCCTGCTAATTTTTCAATTTTAATTGTTCAATCCGTAAAAGTAAATACTTTCCTAAATTAGTACATTAAAAAAAAACTTTCTAGCAATGTTTAGAGCCTGTAATAAGAAAAAAAAATTTTATGACTCACTCTAATATTCTAATTTAATTTGTAGTTAAATCGTTTATATTAATCAATTATTTAGTGTAATAAGAGTTATATGGGTCATATCTCATATGGTTACACTAACACTATATTTTCATTATATACTAATATATATAATATCACAAATTTATTTATTGCATATATATTATTATAATATATATATATATATATATATATATATATATATATATATATATATATATATATATATATATATATATATATATATATATATATATATATACAATAAAGATATTTATTTTTAGGGAATCATGCTTTCATCACATTGTCTCGAAAGGAATATTCCAATGATGTTTTCTTTATGGCAGGATATATTAAATGAGTTAGTACAAATTATTTTTACATGTCTTATAGTTTTTTTAAGTATTTCAATTATCCGAATTACAATAGATGAAATCTCTATTTGATCTATGGGTAACCTATTTCAATTATCTGCATCTACAACAAGGTTGTCATCAAAAATGGTTTGATATGTTTTTTAATGAATTTTACTTTTTTTAGTGCTACTTGAATGTTACAAAAAATATTGTAATAATATATATTGCAATATAAATATTGTAATAATTTATATTGTAATATAAATATTGTAATATATCATCAAAATACTTTAGGCTACAAAATACTTTTGAAGCCTAAAGTATCAAGACATCAAAATACCTTTTTACTTTATTTAAAAAAAACTTCAAAACTTTTTTTTATGTAAAACTAAAATTAGTAATCATAAATTTATATTTCATATCTTTTTTTCCTTTGGCTGCATTTTTTTTTTCTTATATATTTCTGCATTTTTGCAGTCATCCATTCATAAATCAACTGATCTTACATAGATGACATTATTGGCATCCACAACATTCATTTTGTTTAAATTCAATTTATCAAAATCAAATAAAGATTACATATTTGTTATAGCTATAATAAAATATATAAAGATAAGAATATAAAAAGATAAGAATATAAATAAATTAAAACTGTTTATCTTAGATTATGTTACATATTAAAATGTTATTTGTTACAGATAAAATGTTATTTGTTACAAATTATAATATTTTGTGTTACACAGAATATTTTGTGTTCACGTTAGAATGTTTTGTGTTTACTGTTTTGTCTTGCTTAAGACAAAATAATAAACACAAAACACTATAAAAAACTTAATATAACCCATAGTGATAAATCCTAGTGCTCTATATAGATGAACAAAGGTTATCAGACTATACAGTTAATTAAAGTATCTTTTTTTTTATATAACTAAATAATTTATCTAAAATTTTGGTAAATGCAGTTTTAAAAGGCTCTTTTTATGCTGAATTTTTTTTTCTAAAAAAAATGTTTAAATATTTTTTCAAATTTTTCCTTTATAAGAATAATAAGAATCAGAAAAATATTTTTTATGACAAATTAAATAAAAACATTTTTTTTGAAAAAACAAGGTAAATTCAAAAAATTTCATAAACCAACTTATTATTTTTTTAAAAAAGTTTAAAAATTAATTTAGCATTTGGTAAAAACCTTCTTTACTTTTGAATTACTGCTTTCATTTTACTATAAAAATTATAGAAAAAATCCAAAATAAATTTATCTGGCACCATTTCTTAAACAAGCCTTATTTAGGGAGCATTTATAAAATGCAGTCCACCCTCAACATGCACCAACTGATATCTGAATAATTTGCAAAATAAATGCAGCTGATATTATTTTATTCGTTAGATGGTACAACATTTGTAAACATTTGATTTTGAAATCGTTTTTATGTCAGATTTGAAATCGTTTTTATGTCAGATTTGTGCATGTATTAAGAAGAAAAGTAAGTTTCAATACAATTTTCACAAATATATAGCAATTTCACTAATATATAGCATTTTCACTAAAATATAGCATTTTCACTAATATATAGCATTTTCACTAATATATAGCATTTTCACTAATATATAGCATTTTTACTAATATATAGCATTTTCGCTAATATATAGCATTTTCACTAATATATAGCATTTTCACTAATATATAGCATTTTCACTAATATATAGCATTTTCACTAATATATAGCATTTTCACTAATATATAGCAATTTTATAAAAAAAAATTATTTCAGAATTTTTATTAAAATGTTGATTTGTTTAAATGGTTACTATTTTTATAAAAAAAAAATTTATTTCAGAATTTTCATTAAAAATGTTGATGTTGTGACTTAATGTTCACAGACTAAAAATTTAGGAACTAATACCAACAAAACATCCCATAAATACCCTTTTGATTGTTGACTATTTAATTATGTAAATATTTGATTTGATTGTTGGTTTGATAGTAGGTGTTTATTTCTAGTGGTTTTAAAATCCTAAATTACCACCCATAAAACTTAGTAAGCTACAAGATTTTGACTCATTATTAGCATTTTTGCTAATTGATTTTAAAAAGTTAAATTATTAAATAATTTTTCTATGAAAAAAAAAATTTGTTGCGTAAAAAATTAAAAAGAACATTTCAAACTGTTCTAAAACCCATGAAGCGAGCAGAAGTTCTGTTTAAATCATCTGTGTGAACAAAGTCACTTTTTCAATTAAAAAAAAAACTTATATGCAAAAAACTCACCAGTTTATTTAAAAGGATCTCAGTTTTTAAGATGACAGAGCCGCCTTCATCCTATAGGAGTTGCATCATCTGTTCTAGCATCCAAAGATGCTTTTTCTAATGGAACTACTAGTCTTGGTCAACTTAGTGATGTTTGCATAATAAAAATTATCATCTTCATATTTTTTCAAAAACTTCGATCAAATCTAAATCAAATTAACTCTATTAAAATAGTGTTGCCAAACTTTTTGAAAAAGTTTATTGAAGCTGGAAAAAAGCTGAATGACCACCTTTCTGTGGCAAACCTATTGTTGCCCAATAAAAATTTGATGCACCATATTGTTTACTGTCATAGTCTAAATGGCCTGTGTGAAACTGTCACAACATTTAGAAAGTTAAATGATTCAATTGTGAGGTTAGGAATAGATGGAGATTAAACAAAAAGTAGAGAAAAAAAGACAGGAAGTTATATAAACAAAATCCATTTAAAATAATCAATAAAGTGGTAGATATGAAAAAAGTTTTAATGAATTTTGCTGGTATTTGATATAAATGATATTGGTATATAGTTATTGCAGTCAAGTTTTGAGTCCTTTTTATGGATTCATTTAACAGATGCAGTTTTTAAAATATTAGGGAATATACCAGTGGCGAATGAGAGACTAAATAGTTTATGAAGAATTGAAGAAATATCATTAGCAAGAGGTTTTAGAATAAAAGTTGGGATCAGAAGCCTTGTCATTATTTAGAGAAAAAATAACTGATATTATTTCATTTTTGTCATCATTTAGAGAAAGAATAACTGATATTATTTCATTTTTGTCAGTCCGTTTAATGAAAATAGAGTCAAAGTTTGATGTTTTTAAATACTTATGGAAGTCTGGGATTTTAACTTGGTTAATATATAATGGTGTTGTTTAAAGATATACAAGATGGAATTTGGCAGTTTATTTTAATTAAAATCAAACACAAAAAGACAATTATAAACCTTCACAAGATCTGGAAATTTATGAAATTTTAATTCCTATGTACTTATTAGCATTACTGAAATGATACATGGTTCAATTGATAGTGGTTCTTTTGCTTGTGGCATCTTTATTGATCTCCAAAAAGCATTTGATACAGTTGACTACAAGATTTGAATTAAAAATTGTATCAGTATGGTATATGGGGTATCACTGATGATTTGTTTTCATTGTATATTAATCGTATATTTTATCATTTTATATAAACAAATATAAATCGTATTCAGTTTGTCTTGATTAATGGGTTTCAATCCGCTAGTAAAGTTATTAAGTATGGTGTCCCACAGGGTTCTGTTCTAGGGCCTTTGCTGTTTTTAATATATATTAATGATCTGCCTCACTCTATAAATCTGCCTCACTCTATTCATCATTTTGCTGACGACACTAAACTTTTATGCATAAATAAATCACTCGGGCAGCTTTATAAAAAAGTTAATTTAGATCTCCATCATTTCTGTCATTGGTTAAATAGTAACTGTATTTCTCTAAATATCAACAAAACTGAATTTATTATTTTTCACCCTCCAAAAAAAAAAGATTGATAATGATTATGTGAAAATTAGAATTAACAGTAAAATACTTTTCCAATTTAAATATATAAAATATCTCAGGGTATTTCTTAACAAATCATGTTAAAATCTAGTTGATTCAATTAAATAAAAAACTCTCACATGCCAATAGTATGTTGTCATTAATAAGATACAATGTTCCCCAACATATTCTAATATGAATTTACTAATCCTATGTTTTTGATTGTCTTCAAAATAAACTACCAAGTTTGTTTTAATTTTTTTATTAAAACAAGTTTGTTTTAATAAAAAAATTGCACTCAAAATAATGAAAATGTTAATTTTCACGCTTCCTTTTTCAACACTATTAAATAGAACAAGCTCTCTATAAAACACAAATGTGTTTCTCACTGAAACCAGTTAATTCTATTTATTATTGTCATAATTTTTGCAATTGTTATGTTTATTTTTAAAATTTATTTCAAAGTTATAAATTTAATAATTATTTTCACTATAGTTTTTATCATTAATTATAATATTATTATTTGTGATGTTTTTTTATATATATTATTATTACTATTATTAATGTTATCATTATATATTAGTCCTTTACTTTCCTTTTTTTTTTTCTTTTTTTTTTTTTCTTTTTTTTTTTTTTCACCTAACCTTATTTATGTGAGTTTAAAATATATTATTTTAAATTTTTTCATATTTTATGGTTAAATAAATGGAAAAAAAAAAAATGAATTTAAATTACAGTTTGAACATATTATACAAAAGATTAGGGTTGCAAAAAAAAACGTTTTTTTTTTGAAAAAAACTAAAAACCGTAGGTTTTTAAAAAAAAACACAAAAAAACCATGGTTTTTTTGGTTTAAATTAGGATTTTACTAAAAAATGCGGTATTTAGTTATCCTTTTAAATTAAAAAAAGCATAACATATTTTATTTGAGTAAACTATATTCTTTATCAATATTATTGTTATATTTCATCAAAATTATTCAATATATCATTGTTTAATGTTCTATATATAAATGCATGCTTTGCTGCTTTTTCTAACCCCAATTGGTTTCTTAAGTTAGAATGAACAAGACCAAAAGTTGAAAAAATTCTTTCAATTCCAGCACTAGAAGCTGGAGCATTTAATAAACCTTCAATATCCATTATGTTATAGTAGATTTGGCTTTTAATTTGAATAATATTGGTAACAAATTCTTAAACTGTTTATCTGCAAAATTCATGGCATTTTCTAATCAGATCTAATCAAAAAGATCAGATCCAAATCTAGGATCTAGTATGTTTACTAGGAAATGACCATCACTGACAATCTGAAGGTATCTAGATTCAATTTTTTTTTTTTTTTTTTTTTGATAAAAATGATAAACTGTTCATCAAATCTTTTAAAATTTCAAGAGTCACTTATTTTGTTCGATCTCTTTGCAACTTATCTAGAGCTACTGCAATTGGTTTCAATATTTTCAATAAATCTTCTGTGTTTCGCTTTATCTGTATATCACTTTCTTTTTATTATTATACCAATCTAGGATCCAAGTCTTTATTTTTTTCAAACATTGTGAAAATAATGATCCAGTTGTTGACATTTTTCAAATGAATCACATACAGAATTCCAGCAAGTTTCAGTAGGAAGTAGCAATTTTTTTCCTCCGCTTAATTTATAAATTGCCTCAGCTTGATGATTATTTCTTATATATTTTATTATTTGTATAACATGCTTGCTCACATTTTCAATGTTCAAATCATTTGCTAAAAGGTTCATCATATGAGCAGCACACCCATAAGTTAATGATATCTCTTTCAGATGACAATACTTGTTTCATTAATTTCATATTAGCTGCATTGTTAGTCACAAAGCTTTTTACTGTGCATCTAAATTTACGTCTTACAAAATCTATTGCTTCTCTTGCTAATTGTGTAAGATATTCACCAGTACGTGAATGACCAGAAGTGTTAATTGTTTCTACTAAAATGTTAATTTTATCTGTAATTACAGAGATACAAACTATAGGTTCATTATGTACATTACTCCAGCCATCTAAAGACATGGCTGCAATTTTCCCATTCAATACATTACATTTTTCAATTTCTTCTGTGTAAACCCTATCTAATATTTCTCCTCCAATTTGAATTCTATTAGGTAAAATATATTCTGGATGAAGCATATTGATAAATTAAAAAAAAAAAAAACAAAAAAAAAATCATGGATTTAAAAAAATATATCTATATTGAAGATTAGTTATGTTTGTGAGCATAACCCTGTCTTAGTTTCCTGTTGTAAGTTCAAATCTTTTTAAAAAAACATGAGTTTGGTTTAAACCAATATTTTTTTAATTGGTTTAAAGGTTTAAACCATTTGGTTAAAACCATGCAACCCTGCAAAGGATTATAACATATTAACTTAATGTTTTTAAAAATAATGTTTTTAACAAAATTTTAAGCGTTCGATGTATATTAAGAATCTTAAAAAATGTTTTATATGACATTAAAAAAAAAAAAGACAATACAATGTGCACATTCAAAAAATCAGTTAAAAAATTTTAAAAAATTTTAAAATTAACTTATTTTTAAATTAATTTTTTTTTTTTTAAAATTCAAAAATTAACGTAATATTTGGTAGAATTTCCTTTACTTTGAATTACTTATTTTATTTTTTGAGACATTGACTCAGTTAATGTGTTTTTTCGATGCATTAACTTGATTTCATTTTATTTGTTTTTAAGTTGTTGTTTTTTCTTAAAACCGTTTCATTAAAAGTTAATGTGCCAACCATTTGCATATTTCTTGCTAATTTGTTCACATAATTCATTTGCTCAATCTTTTTTCCAATTATTTTTCAGATGTTTTTGATAGGATTCAAGTCTTATCAAACCTCCAAAAGTCAAAGTTTTTTGATTTTTGACTTATGCTGAAGGTCATTGTCTTGTTGTACTTCTTAATTTTAGAGGCATCTCCTATTCAGAATGTGGTAACATTACATCTTCCATGATATTTTTTGTTCACGTAGCTTTATCAGCCTTTTGTTCACGTAGTTTTTTATCAGCCTTTTGTTCACGTAGCTTTTTATCAGCCTTTTGTTCACGTAGCTTTTTATCAGCCTTTTGTTCACATAGCTTTTTATCAGCCTTTTGTTCACGTAGCTTTTTATCAGCCTTTTGTTTACGTAGCTTTTTATCAGCCTTTTGTTCACGTTTATCAGCCTTTTGTTCACGTTTATCAGCCTTTTTTCGTATGGTGTGATTAGAGATTTGTAGTTCAAATTTTTTTGTTATTTTTGTTGATGATAAAAATGATTCTTTTTTAGTCTCTTCGACAATTCTTTGATATTCGATTTTTTGATGATTGTTTTTGTGATGTTTTTCTTAGATTTTTGTCTTTGTGATGTTTTCTCTGGAATCAGTCTTTATTGTTTATTTCAAAGCAGTCAAGAGATCCATATGGTTTTAGAGTTTTGTTTACAGTTGACTAGTTACATATTTCTACAAATTTTGGATTGAATTTTTTCACTTTTAAAATCTTTATCAATATTTATAAAAACATTTTCTAGTTTGTCTTTAGCTATTTTTAAATGAAATTTTTTATGCAATAAAAACATATATCATGAAAAAATTGAGTTCAATCTGCTTTTAGTTTAATTGAAAAATTATCAGGTGCAAAATTTTGTTTTATATAATCATTTTATTTTGCAAAATTTATTTTATTTTATTTGTATTTAGAGTACCATTCTGGTATAAGTGAAAACAAAAGAAAATGATAAATTGAATAAAGACAATATAATCTTACATAATCTGTAATACATTTTGATTTGTCCACTTTGTTTTCTCAGAAGTAAAATGTGTTTTTTTAAAGAAAAATGCAATATAAAATATTTTTTTGATTCTTATTAGAATTCAAATGTTATAAGTTTTGTTAAAAACATAATAAACTATTTAAAAGTTAATATGTTTCATTATTTTCAACTACTTTTTTTTTTTAGTTTTTAATTAAGTTTTGTTGGAAATTTGAGTTTGCTCATCATGTTTTGTCTGATACTGTAATTCCCTAATTATTGACATGCTAGAAAAGAGCCTCATTAAGCAACATTCAACCTTTTAGGAAAGATTTTGAGTTGGACATTTCCGGGTAGTTATTATTTTATAAACATAAAAAAAATGATTTATGCCTTATTTTACACAAAATCTATTCGTACCAGCGGCACAAAAAATCATTGAAAATCTTGTAACTTAAAAAAGTCTCACAAACACTAATGTAGGGTTTTAAAAGTACTTGAAATAAACTCTGAAATAAACTACTGGTATATCGAATAAACCATTGAAGGGGTTTTTACAGGATTTTACATTGGTATTAGGTCCTAAATTTTCAAGGTGTATTATTAATGTTATATCAAAATGAATTATGCAAGTTTTCTCAATCAGGGTCTGCTTTTTAGAAATAAGTTTCCTAAAATTCATCCTCAGAACTAAATATCTTTTTGACCTGCTGTTTTTTTTAACTGAAATGTTTAGAGTCAATGGTTTACCAGTCACTTGTGACATGCCATATTTTGAGGCAGTATTAACAAATTTTGTTGCTTTTGAATAAAAAGTACAAATTTCAAAATGAATCTTTTAATGAATTTCAGTTAAGAAATTAAAAAAGTGCATTTTAGAAACACTTCATATGGAAACAAAAAAATGATAAAGTGTCCAAAAGTTGAAGTTTGAATTTTTTAATTTATTGTTGTTTATTTTATTTATTTATTTTTAATCTTTAATAATGCAATTTTTTTTTTCTTAATAGAAAAAGATTTAATAGAATATGATTTTTCACTGAATCCTTATTTTTGAGACAAAAAAAAATTCCTAGAATGAGGGGTATTGCTTAGGGCTAGGGTTTATTTTATTTTAATTAAATATCAAAGTTTAAAGATATATTTGTGTTTGTGTTAAAATGATTCATAAATGATTTTTAGTTTTTAAAAAATGATGTTTTTAGAAGTAAAGGCCTTTGATTTGGGCTTCTAAAATTTAATTTTTGTTGCGCTAATATTTTTTGGCTTGTTACCAGATGCAATTCTATGAATAAAATGAGGGTGGGGTTGGGGGAAATTTCTTAAAAAGTACAGACTGACTTCTTAAAAAAAAGTCCCCAAAACTAAAATTTACCCAACTGAATTGTGTCAGATACCTGACTTGACGACTAAGTTCATTAAAAAATCGACTATAACTTGAAAATCAGCTTCTTTGGTTAGGTCTCATTCTCACTCTAGTCTCACAAATCCCCTTCCCCCCCCCCACACACACACCCGTAAAATCGCCTCTTCTTGTTACATAATATTTTTTGACTAGCTACACTTCTTTAATATTTTTTGACTAGCTACACTTCTTTAATATTTTTTGACTAGCTACACTTCTTTAATATTGTTTGACTAGCTACACTTCTTTAATATTTTTGACTAGCTACACTTCTTTAATATTTTTTGACTAGCTACACTTCTTTAATATTTTTTGACTAGCTACACTTCTTTAATATTTTTTGACTAGCTACACTTCTTTAATATTGTTTGACTAGCTACACTTCTTTAATAACATTTTTTTTTAACCTATCTAGGTTAGTTTATATAGCTTTGACTAAAAAATATTATTAAGAGATAAAAAAAAAGAGATATTAATAAAGATATGCTTTGTTTGATAGATGAATTTTAATTGTTGAAAATAAATTTTTCAGACCTGAGTTCAATAATCCTGATCGACTGCGGACCTTGATAAATTCTGCAGCGAGTGATTTATCGCAATCTGTTGCTCAATCTGGTCACTTGTATGCAATGGCCTGTGCAGCAAAAGGTTTGACACCTGCAGCTCAACTATCAGAACTTTTTTCAGGTCTTCGACAAGTAAGATTTTTTTAAAGAAACCTGTTCTTTATGACTGTAACTTCTTCAGATATCTTTTCTTTATGACTGTAACTTCTGATATTTTTTTCAAAATAAGGTTGTGAAATCAAAATTACAAAATTTTGAATTAATTGAAATCAAAACCTATTTGCAATTCCATTTAATTAAAAAGAAAAGTTGTTTGTTTTTTAAAAAAAAAATATTTCAATAGTGAAACTAGATGTTGGAGTCGGAGTTAGACAAATGCAAAATTAGAAGTTAGTTTAAAAACTGTCGAGCAAGCAATAATGTGTTTGTTATATTTTTTATAAATTGTATAGAATAATAAGTTACACTCATTTTATTTTCATAACGTTTGTAATTGTGATAAGGTTTCACGGTTTCAAACCGCGTAATATTATAAATTATATGTTTTATTATAAGTGACGTATTTACATTTTTTATATATGTAGGAGATATATTTATGTGTTGGGGATATCATCGTTTGACATGCAAAATGCAGAATATTTAATAAAAAAATGTTATTCTTGTTATTTATTATTCTTACTTAGTTTAACACTCTACGTAATAATTACTAAGTTTAATATTCTACGTAATAATTACATAATTTAATTTTTTACATAGTAAGACATATACGTCGTAATAATTACGTACTTTAATTTTCTACGTAATATATAAAGTCGAAAAATAAGATTATTATTTTTTAAACTTTTATCATTATATACAGTATTATTTTAATACTATTATATGTTTTAATAACTATATGTTTATATTGTTTATACTTTAAGTATTAATTATTATTGAACAAAGTAATTCCTACAAAATAATAATAACTTAATAATATCATTTGGAAGCTGACGAAACTGTTTTTTCTACATCTTTAAAAAATCCAATGTCTAATAGGTCAAATACATAAACTGTTTCTTAGGTTGAATTTATGAAGGAGTTGTCCGAACAAGAAAGCTTGGATGGAGTAATCGAGAATTTAATGAAAACTGCAATGTATATATGCAACTCAAATGATATGAGGTAACAATTTATTTAAATTGTTAAAACTAAACTTAAATTGTTTTAAGCTATAATTTTGTTTTTTTTTAATATTATTTGGATTATTAATTTGATTAATTTTTTGCATTTAAAACAATTAAGTTTTAATAAAAGTTTTGTTTCTTAATCTTCTGACTCGTTTTTTAATAAATGTTTTTGCTCAGTACTTTCTTTTTGATCTTTACTTGAAAAGACATTCTTACTTATACAAAAAGCATTTGTACAATCATTCTTTTTGATTGCATTACTGTCTTTAGCTTCATCCATTCTATCTTTTGATTTAGGAAGTATTTCAGCTAAAAACTCTGAACTGGTGTTTGTTGCAATTGGGTAACGATTTTGATTAGGTACTTGAACTTTTGAGGCGCGAAGCAATGAATATTCGAACTTATGTTTATTACTAACATTTAGTATGTTATCAGTTTCTTCTTGTTCTTGTTTTACTAAAGTTTTAACTTTTTTGTGGTCATTAAATTCACTTAAGTCTATTGACTTTAAGTTGCTAGATTCGTGCGTTTCATCCTCAGAATCATTTCTATCAGTACTATTTACAAATTGCGATGTTTTATTAGTTCCTTCCATCTCCGTGGTGATATTTTTTTCTAAGGTTGGACAATCGGTACCTGAGCAATCTTTGGTTGTATTTTCTAATACCTTGTTTATAAAAGCAGTTTCATTGGTTGATTCTGATAGTTCGCTTATTGTTGAATTTTTAGTTTCTTCGCTATCAATAAAAGAATTATTTTTTTTATCTGTGTTTAAAGCACTTTGAAAATGGTCGTTTAAATTATCATTATCGTGGTCTTCAATTTCTCCTTGTTCTTCTAAGTTATTTTTTACTTCTGATGGTTCTGGTACTTTTTCGCTTTCATTTTCATCGCTTTCAGATGCGCCTATTTCTAATTTATCATCACTGTCTGTATCTCTCAATGAATTATTTAGTTTAAGTTTTTTTAACTTCATTAGGCAATCCTCAACACAGTCTATATTTTGTGCTGAAGAAATTGTTAAATCATTATTTTCGTCGTATTCTTCTTGAACTTCGCTGTCCTCTTTTTCAGATTTTCCAATTTTAGTTAATTTTTTTATAATTTCGTTTAAACGTTCTTTAAGGGCATTTTTTAATGAGCCATTTGAGTTTTCTATTTCTTTTAAATTTTTTGTTTTATCATTTACTTTTAATGACTCGTTAGAATAGCTTTCTTTGTCATTCTTGTATAAAGTTTCGTTGGAAATTAATTCTTTATTATTTAATTTTATTTTGTCGTTCGTTTTAAATTCTTTGTTGTGCTTTGGAAAATTTTCATTAATATCTTGTGTTCCATTGAATTCCAATTTTAAATTTTCAGAAGAATTTTCGTCGTTTTTCTTTTTAAATTCAGTTTTTTTATTATTTGTACAAATATTTCCAGAGCAGTTTATTTCGATCGTTTTTCCTATCTTGTTTTTCTCCTCGATTTTTTTCAACAGTTCTTTTATTGCAGTTGTTCCAATATCATTTGATGTTTTGTTTTTAGATGATAATTGAGAACTGTTAAATCTAATAACTTCGGGTTTAAGTACTGAACTTTCAGAGTGGTTGTATATAGTTATTATAGAATGGTTCGTTAAATGATTAACTGATTTTTCTTTTGCTTCAGATGTATTTTTTGTTTTTGCTATATACTGCGTTTGTTTCTTAATGAATGCATTTGGATTTGTTCGAACTTTGATACAATTATTAGATGTGCAATTTTTATCATGCGTCATAAGTATATAATTAGAATTAGGGTTATCTATTTTTTTTATTAATTCAATTTTAGTATATGTATTTTTTTTTTCATCTGGATTTCCTTCCGTTGATACATTAATATTATGTAGGTTATCTTTAACTTTATCATTTTCTACAGTTTCCGAATCGTTTTCGTTTACTAATATTATATCTGTTTTATGTTTCTCGACAGTCTTCTGCTCTTGAATATCGGTTTTGTTTTTAAAACGATTTTCTTGGTTTTTATTATGATTTTCTTCATTTTTATTATGATTTTCTTCATTTTTATTACGACTTTCTACGTTTTTATTACGATTTACTTCGTTTTTGCTTGAAAGCAGTTCTTTGACACTCTGAAGTTTCTCAAAATCGTCACAGGAGTTATCAAAACATGTTTTGTTTACATTTTTCACTCTTTCTACAGCGTGTTTACTTGAGGCACCAGTTTTTTCTTGTTGCTGTTCAAAAGATTTTACTTCACTATCAAAATTCGATTTATTTTCGTCTATTGGTTCTTCTACTATTTGTTCTTCTTCGAATACTTTTGCGCTGTTGTCCTCGTTTATTTGTCTATTCAACGAAATTGTATGCCTAATGGGGTAGTTTCCTACCACAAGCAAGACTACTAGAAACCAATTCATTTTATTTATTTATTTTTTTTTAATTTCTTCTAGAAAATTAAATTTTATTTTTCAAATACTTTCTGTAATCAAACCACGTTATAAAGCGCGTAACTGTAGTTCAAATTTATAAATGATTAAATGTTTAGTAAAAATATTTAAGAATTAATGATGCAAAATCAATACGTAAACCCATTAAACATTAGTTTCTCACTATTAAGTATATATTAGTTCTTCACCATTAAATATATATTAGTTCTTTACCTAGTGTTTTATTTTGTTTACTTAGTCACAAAAAATTTTCTTTTTTTTTAAGTGATATTTTTAGTGACATTTTACATTTAATGCCGCATGGCTTCTGCTGCACACTTTGAGAATTTTTGAGCTGTGTCTTCCGCTATGCGGCTAGTCGGTTGAACGCGCATTACCGTCGACTCATATTGATTTAGTGCTTGTTTTTATTTTTTTTTTAATTTATTAGCAAATTAGATAATCGAATCGAATCAATCGTATTCTTTTTAATATTCAATTTGATCAGTTTACTTTTCTTTGTTTAGTTTGTTCTAAATATTAATGCAATAGATTTAAAAATATTTTTATAATTTTAAGTCAATGATATTTATAATTCTTATACTATTATATCTTTGTTCGGTGTTTTTAAATGGTTACATAATTCATGTCTAACATTTGTCAAATAAAGATTGATTTTAATCTTAATGGAGTTTAATTTTGAACAGGAATCTAATATCTTTTTTAAAGAGAACTTTTCTGATTTTGATCTGTTTTATGATTTGTTGATAGTTAATAGCAAAAGAAAAAATAATTTTAATTTTTAAGTCTTGAAATAGTTTACAATTTTGACATGTAATATATTTACATTACGTTATTACACACAGTAAAAAAAATACCCGTTATATTTTTAAAAAACATAATGCTAGATTTCGTGTTTTTTAACGGGTAATTACCGTTATGTTTAATGAATAATTCGTATGAAAAAAACATAACGGCAAATACCGTTTTTTTCATATGAATTAAAAATTGAACATAACGGGTAATTACCGTTATGTTCCACATATAATATTTTGTATTTTTTGTTTTTGCTATATTCTGCGTTTGTTTTTTAACGAATGCTTTTGGATTTGTTCGAACTTTGGTACAATCATCAGTATAATCTTCAGTAGTATAAACTGTATAAACCGGGCGCCATATTTACTCAATATTGTCATTATGTAAATAACCATTAGTCAAATTAAAAGAACTGATGCTTTTATGACTATAAATGCATACTACATGTCCACTATTAATCAGTCTGTTTTGTCTGGAAAAGGAACAACTTAAAATATTTTTTGTTCATGATTCACTTCGCTATGTTTCACATATCATTACATATGTGGTTGCTTAACTTCATTATCAATTAATTCATCAAACTTGTTGTTTAGCAATGTTGCATTAGTATACCAGCAAAACAGATGACAGTATTTTCTTGTCAATTTACTTGATGCAGATTTTGCAGACTCTAATTTTTTGAATATCATATCAAAAGAGCTAGTTAATAGTTTCTTTTATAGCAAGTTTTCTGTTGTTTTTTTTTTTTGTTACTACTCGACCTCAGTTTGATCTAGATTAATGTATACTTTTTGAAAATTATTCAATGTCTTCAGCTTTATGGCAACTTTTAAAATTTCTATTTCGTTTGCATTGTTGGTTAATTCTACTAAAACAGGGCTGCTTAGTGCATCGCTCATGAGTTTGAAATGATAAACTCTTTTGATTTTATTTTTATTTATGAATATTTTTCTAAATAGATCATTAATTTGGAGTCGCACTCTTTATGAATTTTAGTATCAATCTCCATTCTCTTTTGTGACATTCCAAAGACAATAACATTACGTTCTTATTTTCCAATATCTTTATTTAAGGTAACAATTGAAACTCTTATGGCTTGAAACTCTAATTTAAACTAATCCTCTCTTTGCAATTGAGGCCCAATTTTTCAAGTTACTTTTAGTTTTAGTTTTTTAATCTAAAACTGCAAGACGATAATCTGATTATTTAATTGCATTTAATTAATCAGATTATTGTAGTTATAACCTAATAATATATATATATATATATATATATATATATATATATATATATATATATATATATATATATATATATATATATATATATATATATATATTATCAGGGGCTATTCTAGGAAAAAAATATGGGCGGTGGTACCCCTCCGTCCCGGAGAAATATAGCGGAAATATTGCCGAATATTCGCGGAAAAAATATTCGCCGTAAAAAACGTAAAAAATATATATATTTTCTATAATTTTCTTTTTAATTCATTCAAATTAACTTTTTCAAATATTAGAAATTCCTTATTAATTTATGATTTTTTATTTTAAATTCCTTATTTATCCTTTTATTTTATTAAAATAATTTTACGGGATTTATAGAAAGAAATTTCCGGGATTTTCATAAATGTTAATGAGTTTTTGTTATTATTTGTTTTGTTTTTATTAGGAAATTTTTATTCTGGGTAACGTTAAAAATCCTGATGTCATCTTAGGTAACCGGTTCCTTAAAAAACTAGATTTCTATAATGGAATACTTGTATGTGCTTATTTAGCGATAAATTTCTTTTATATTTGTTTTATAGTAAAAACTGTAAGATTATCGTTCCTAAAAAAAAATTTTTTAAAGTCATAAATTGCTATTTAATGCGAGCTGTTTTAATAATAATAAAAGTCCTGTAATAGGATCAGATACTCCTACGGAGATTTACAGGTTATGACAGCCGTATTTTATTTAAAATATTTTATAAAACATTTCTTAAAAGTTAAATTTATAGTCTTTCTTTGTCTATTAAATATTTGAATTAGTTTAAGTTCGATGCATTGATTGTAACATTTTAATTCGTTCCAAATATTTATAACGCTGTTTGTACCTAGTATGCAGTCTTTTACCAGCTCAGGTTTCAGTTTATAATTGTGACCACGTGTTATTAATACTCTAATGTTAATTAATGCTAATTGTTAATCAAAGTTGCACCATCTCAATGTGTTTGGATTATTAAATATTTTATACATTTGAATTGCGTCACGCCTTATACGTTCTGTCTCTAATTTGTTATTCCAAGTATATCCAGTCTATGTTCATACTGTTGTCTACCTCTATATTTGTACTGTAGCTTACGTAATAACAATGATTGTCTTGTTACTCGGTTTTGTATATTTTCAATTTTTTTAATATTACCAACAAGATATGAAATCTACACTACTACAGCATATTCCAACACTGGCTTGATGAATGATTTTTATAAAATTTCACCATTAATGTATTTAGACAACATAATACCCAAGTCTTATTCACAGTTACTCGGTACAATATGGTGGACTAAACATCTTTCGTCTTGCCTAACCTAATAAATGGTAAACTAACCTAATAAACGATAAACTAAACTAATCAAGAAGAAAAGAAATTATGTCGGAAAACATTTTGGGTGATTGACAACTGTTCATTAAATTATTGACAATTGATCAACCGACTATTGACTATTAATTTACAGATTATGAACAATTGTTCGTCTGACGATCGGCGTTTTTTTCTTAGGATGAATTATTTGTTTATTCGTACGTTATAACAACACTATAAATATTTGTACGATTGTATAAAATGAACTCATTTTATACTATCGTACAATACTAATTTGCATCAAATTTGCTGCAAATTATATATATATATATATATATATATATATATATATATATATATATATATATATATATATATATATATATATATATATATATATATATATATATATATACATTTTTTTTTTTTTCATTTTTTGTTTAAAACTTGTAGTTTCTTTAATGTTTCGCTTAAATATATAGAAATCATTAAAAAATATTTCTTTATAGGTGCGCAATTAATGCTCCATCAGAAATGCTTGATTCCTCCATACATGCATTAAGTGAAATGTTAACCTCGCTTAACACTGTTGGTTTTGATGATCCAGATTTCGTTCAGGTGACTTGCTGTCGTTATGTTCATAGTTGTTTTTTTAAAGAATTTTTATTATGTTTTATATTCATAGAGTTTTTTTAAACTGTTTATATTAAGAAAAATATTTTAAACTATTAGGACGCGGATTTTCATCCGAAGAGCCAAAAAACGTTTGTGGAAATGGATTTTCCAGTAAATTACGTAAGCAAATGTATAAGAGGCGTTCCTTACTCTCATGAAGATTATGCTAAGTGAATTTTTACTCCTTTTTTTAATTTCTGTGATATTATTTATCCCTATTGTTAAAATGGGTTGAAGTTCTTAAGGAGAATCTTTTTAATACCTGTTATTTTTTACAGGCTGCAAATACTTCTGAGACTAATGTCAGCGAAATATCTTCATCAAGAGATAAGGTTAGGTTTTTCTGTAGTTAATCGAAGCGATCGAAGTATTATTTAAAAATCTTATTTTGTTTAGAAATTTTTTACGTACGTCATTAAAAAGTGACTTTGCAGTTTTATTTGTAGTAAAAGTTGGTGAATCTGGAATAAATTTCCTGTAAGCGTTTCTAAAGGTCAGTTTTAACTCATCCTATTTTTTAAGGGAACAGAAAAGATTATTCAAAATAATCACGTGAGCATGCGTAGTTTTGCTTCAGACAAATAAAAATTATACAAGACATGCCTACAAAAGAGGTAACCTTTCCCTTCCCTTTCCTGTTTAAATAGTAAAAGGGTGAGTAAAAACTGACTTTAATGTAAAAGCATTTAGTATTGAAAGAAACGCGTTTTTATTAAAGTTTTTTAATTAATTTAATATTTTTCATCATCCATGACGTAAAAATTATATTATGATTTTTATTTGATTGATGTTTTAGAGAGAAGGGTGGCGCTTATGGTGGCGGAGCAAAGATTGATAGCGGTGTCATTTCCTTCTATTCGTATAGGTTAGTGAGGATTTGCATTTATGGGCGCCCGCAAGTTTGTTACTAAATTTTTCTGTAAAAAATATCTTTTAGTGATACTTCGTTACAGTTTCGGAAAAAACCTAATTAAGTTTTTTCCGAAATAATTAATTGCTTATTTGTATGAAAAACACGATATTTTTCAATCTTAGCATGTTTCGTAGTTTACACACTACATTTTCAAAACGGTGCTGACAAGTTTAAATTGTCTTCTTTTTTCCACGGACATATAATTTTTTTCTTCTCTTTATTTTATATCTTACATATCTTGATTTTTACATAATAGATAACAGGAAAAAAAGCAATAACAAAAAATGTTTTGCCCCCCTTAGAAAATTTTCTGCGGGCACCTATGTTTGCATTATATATTTAGAGTCATTAAATTTTGTTCTGTAATAAGAGCTTTCATTTAGAGACCCGAATACATTGTCGACTTTAAATTCGTTTGAAAAATCAGTCATCTGGGCTAGCGAGGGAAAATTCACTGATGACGATATAGAGGAAGCAAAGTTGTCAGTTTTTTCGCACGTACGTATAATTTTAAATAAGATTTTGACGATTAACATTCTGTTTATTATCTTATTCTAAAAATATATTTCAGATCGATAGTCCGGTTCCCCCATCAAATCGCGGAATGCCGTTGTTCAAAAGTGGTCTTACAGATGAAATTCGTCAACTTCATCGCGATCGTTTGTTTGCAACAAATAGGAATGACCTAATAAATGTTTCTCAAAGGCAAGTACTGTTACTAAACTTTCTTAAACATAATAGTAAATGTGCATATGTACATATGTACATATGGTGTCAGTATATATATATATATATATATATATATATATATATATATATATATATATATATATATATATATATATATATATATATATATATATATAATATATATATATGCATATGCATATATATATGTATATATATGTATATGCATATATATGTATATGCATTTGTATATATACATATATATATATATATATATATATATATATATATATATATATATATATATATAATATGTATATGCATGTGTATATATAAACACGCGCGTTTACGGTGGTATTATTACGTTTGATACTTATTAGATATCTATTACCTGGTGCACAAAAAGATGCTTATGCAATAATTGGACCTAAAAATGAAGAATTAAGAAATGATCCCGGTTGGAAAAAGTCATTAAAGTCCGTTCCGTAAAATATCTTTTGTGAAGTGGATATGAAAGATATAAGGTATTTTTACAATTATATTTTCTTTCATTAGCGATTTGTTTCTTAATTTTAAAAAATTGAATTATTTTTATACCAATATTTCAAAGTATGTATTCACATTTAAATGCATTTTTGCATTTTCAAAATTATACAAAATTATTTTAAAGCTTTAAAATTATAACTTAAATGAAATTTAAAACTTAAATTTTCAAAATGCGAGAACTTTGACTTTTTTGACCATTTCATCTAGATATTTCTAAAATATTTTAAAATTGTCGAAGATACAGCAGAAATATGAAGAATACTGTAGAATTTTCTCTAATATGAATAATTTTTAGGGGGCTGTTTGAAATTTTAAAAGAAATTCATATTTGAAAATAAAAATGCTAAAAACGGTTTTTCAAAATTTAACAAAAAAGAAAAATTTTATTTTAAAAAATTAAGTATTTAGAAGACTATTGACAGCCGATGCAGGCCCGGAGCAAATTTTTTGCGAACCTTTTTTTTAATTTTATCGGCAATAATAGGTCCATAATGAAAATTTAACTTGACTTTATCAAACTTAAAGTCTATAATATGACATGTCTTTAAGTTTACAGTCTACGAATCCTTATTTCTGTTAGCAATTTTCATTTATTTAGCAAACTACTTTGTTATAAAATGTCTTTTGATCAGCTGATTTTTGCTTTAATAATATTATCAGTATGTTTGGAGAAAAAAAGACTGTTCAGTAACCTAGAAAGTATTTAAAAAAACCTCTAACATCTTTAAGAAAAGAAGTTAATTTTGAGAAACCTAGAATATTCTATTGTTTATCAAAGTCTGATTTTCTTGTAAGTGGCTCAACTGCCAGTTTTCCCGAACCAGAAAATCAATCTTAACACATCGAAGGTCGTAAACATTTTCAACCATTCCAAACGTGCTAAAAGAACGTTCTAACTGTTATGACTCATCCATTTAATAAAGAGAAACATCAATGCTGTACGCAATGTAACGACAACATCAATGCTATAACGCATTTAAAAGATTTTTCACGCAACAGCTCTTTATCTAATTTCATGAATTTTCATACAATACCGTTTTTTATATTTCTTTTGAAAATAATATCCTGATATTGTGGTTAAACGTGAGCGACTAGCTGTTGGGAGTTTATGAAAAAAGCAATTAGGAAAACAGAACAATTTTTGTTTTATTTTTCTCAAAACAAGCCAATTATCAATAGCGCCTTAATTTTTTATGCTTATATGTAGTAAGCAATCAAAAAATAAGTACCCAATCTTTTTGTCATTTTCTCAAGATGACAAAAAGATTTGATGATTTTGTAGAGGAGATGACATGGAATGTTATTTCCTTGGGAAATTGACATGGAATCTTTTCTAGACCCATTCGAACCGCTTTCAGAAGCGCTAGGTATTTCATTTTGTAGATAACGAACATCAAAGTTATCGAAGCTTTTTTTTAATAATATTATTAGCTATATCTGATTTATTTTGATCAGAGATACTGTTAAAAAGCAAGAAAACTTCATCACCCTCGCGTAATAAAGTTTTCATGCTTCATTAAACATGAAAACTTCATTACGCTAACTTTTACTTTGAGGGAGGTTACCCAAAAATGTACGAATGCTTACAGAAGAGTGGGTGCTGTAGACAGCGAGTACGTATGCAATGCGTATGTATGCAGGTAGGGTTGTCGAAAATATACAGGTGCGTTCAAGGGAAAAGGGTTTCTAAATCAGTGGTTTTACTACGTACGTACATTATGGCTGTCCCATTTATGAGCTTGAGGTTTGTTTTTTATGTGACTATTAAATAGGATTTTACCTAAATTAACAATACTTGTCATTCTAGTAAATAAAATAATTTGCAGATGAAAGGAATAAATAAAAATATTTGATGTATATCGATGGTGAGTATTATCAGGCAATCTATGCATCAAATCATCATAACCTTTGTATATTAAAACAATATTTTATACCTTACAACAATACTCCTTTTAATTTACGAGTAATTAAATTAGAATCAAATTCTCAAACACTTAATAAGTTTTATTTTAAATTATTCGAATAATACAAAAATCCTCATAAAATGCTTCCAAATACTGTGCTCAAAGTAAATTTTACATTAATTGTTTTCTTGCTATTATCCTACTCTATATTATTTCTATATATCGGTTTTTACGTAGATTAATTATATATAGTTGTCAAGATATAATATTTCTATCAATTTTCACCAAAAATACTAGAATTCCGACCAAGAAAAACTTATAATTAAGATGCCAATAAATGATCAGAACAGATCATATTTTTAAACTATGATGTTCATTTCACCCAAACAATGTATTTATTTAAAATCTTATTCAAATTTGGATAAGCGATTAAGATTTTTTTTTTTAAAAAAAAAGAATCTTCTGTCTGGGTTTTTTCGCTATAAATATTTATATTTTATGATACCGCAAAATTTATCATTTTAATTTTTTTCATCTTTTCATAATTCACAGACCTGATCATATAACGGAAATATGTCATAGTCAACAAAATATCATACAGACGTTATAAAATTTTAAAATTGCCTTAACTACACCGAGTATGTAAATATAAAATTTTATAATTATTAATTGCGACTATATACTTGTTAAATGCTAATGACATTAGCATTTAACAATATTAGGTCATTAGCATTTATACTTACACTTGTAAAACGCTCATGTAAGATAAATGTATAAATATTTTTTTTTACAAAAAACAATTAAGGGCAAAAAAAAATAACTTTTGCTATTTTTTACCTTTAACTGTGTTTTCTGATGCAACTTCATATTAGTCTTTAATGACGAATAAACTATTTTAGTTTTTAACAGCTGCTGTATACTTTTTGTTTCACGTAAAGTTTATTAAAAGTCATTACTGATTTTTTTTTCTAAAGGCAAGTTTCCACTCATCCGTTTTTTCACGGGAACGGGAAAGGTAATGTAAAAATAATCACGTGGGCATGCCTTAATATGTCCGAAGGAAAACTACGCATGCTCACGTGATTTTTTTTCTCTTTCCTATCCCGTTTCCCGTGAAAAAACGGATAAGTAGAATTTCACCTTAACATCGAAATTTGCAATAAAATATTAAACGTTTTAAATTTTAAATGCAACATTGTTCATTATTTTTGGTTCTTGTACCTAAATCGTCAAAACGCTTATCTTAATTCTGAGTTTTTCTGTGAATTTCGTTGCAAGAATTTTATTAGAGCTAAGTTCTCTACAGTCATTAGTAACTTTAATAATATCATGATACAATCCATACCTAGGTTAGTTTAGATTGAGACGTGTACGATTGACGCTGTGTTGACACCAGGATTGTCTAAAGGGCGGGAAACTTTATTTTGGATAATAATGGAGTTAGACAAGCAAGTATCGCTTACTTTTATCCATTACTGAATTTTGGTTCTCACTATAATGCCTTGGTAATTTTACAATTGTCGGTTATAGTCGGCAGGCATCTTCATTAGTTAAAGCAGACATCATTTGTGCTGGTACTCAAGTAGTAAAAAAAAAAATTTTTTTATAAATATATTAAAAAAAAAATTTATATTTATAAATAAAAAATTTTTTATATATATATATATATAAAATTTTATATATATCCCTTACAGAATCTAATATATATATATATATATATAATATATATATATATATATATATATATATATATATATATATATATATAATTTTTTATTTTCAAACGACAAGGTATTTTGCTTCCGTACTATACCTGGTATCCTCGGCTTCTCTTTTTTACTTAACTTGGTTTTACCCAAACATTATCACTCTATTCGAATTTCTTGTTTTCGTCATTCTCTTCTGCTTTCTTCCGTGTATCGACACCTGGAATCAGAACTGTACTGAGCCATGAAAAATTCTTTTTTGGTAAACCACCTTGTGTCACTGTTTCCCTTTAATAAAATAATCAATATTTACATCAGTTTTTCAACTTAAAAAAAAAATTAAAGAACTTTCCAAAAAATGTAATCATGAGCGGGAAAACTCAGCAGCATGGACACCAACAAGAAACAAAAGTGTGAGCTGCTATTTCTTCTTTCTCGCTCTGGTAATGCCGAATCAAAAAGTCTTATTTTGTCTGTTACTTTAGGCCGTGTTGCTGGATCCCTGATTTGAAAGTTTACTCCTGAGGTCGGTGGAAATCTGATATTTCTGAATAAAGTTTATTGTCATCCATTTCAGCTCGATCAGAAAGCTAGGAATTTTCATATTCACTTGTTGTTTCTGAATCATTTGTGCAACATTGATAAAAATATGATAAAGAGCTGATAATCTCTTCTTCAATTCCTAATGATGATCTGAACATAAGTCATTAATTTGAGCTGTTTGAAAATCTTTATCTATCGAATTGTCATTAACTTCGATACAAATATCTTCTGAAATAATTTGCTTTTTTACTGCAGAGTTTGTTACCTACGACTTCTTGAAACAATTTTGTAATTTTTCATCACTTTCTAAGCGCTGTTTTCTTTTCTTCTTAAATTGAGTGCCAGATAAGTTTTTGGTACGATTCTTTAGGGATCGTCCATAAATTACGCAAGGCTAAATATATTTAGAAAACAGTAGTAGGAGATCTTAGGCTCTTTTACGCGGCAATTTTCATTAAACTTAATGCGCTATTTTGATTTTTTCTTTAACTTAAGACTTTGCGAGGGAAAACTTTTGATCTTTTTTGTTTCGTTTATTAATGAATTTAACGTTGCGTAATATATGAACGATCCCTTATAGAATCTTAATCTTCAGAAGTTATCAACTATATTTTAACTAAGTTTTGAAAACCAATGACGCGTTTTTTGCAATCTAAAAAAATAATGCTAATGTAGTGTTTTTTCCTTTCAACGATTTTTTAAAAATATTTTAACATTATTGTCTCGGACTTTCCATATAGTCTCGAAACAAAACAATTATAAATAAAATTAGTATTGAATGTTCTCCATAAAAATAATTTTTAAAAAGATATATCTATAATTTTAAATATATCCTTTAAATATATATCTAGATATATCAACTATATTAGTGTTAAAGAGCGCTCTTCTGTTCAGTAAATGAGCTTTTATAAGTTGGAGTTTATGTAAAGAGGCGCAATTTTAATTTGCTTTTGTATCAACATCAAAGAGACGCCAGAAAAATTTGTTTCCAAGTGAAAATTATTTTTTTTACTTAATTTTTGGGCAGTTTTGCCTCCTCCCAAGTTTAAACTGCGTTTAAGCACCTCACAGTGCTCTTGCTATCACTGTATACTGTTTATTTCTTTTTGTCCCACCTACTAGCTAAGTTTAGTTTTCGAAGTATCAAATCCATTCACTCATATTAGTATGGTAAGCATCACTCGTTGGCCGTAGCCATGCTGCATCTTTAACAACTACTCCTTCAATGAGCAGAACTACAATAAGTCCTATGGATGATGCCACAATATAGCTCAGTTTTTCCATTCGCTAGTGCTAGCCATTCTCTACAAACCAAGTCTACTTTTTTCCACAATTCTTTCAGTCTTTCATTACAATCTTCTAAAATAAAATTCAAGAAAAATTCCCTGCAATATGTTTGATGTATGAAGCTTGTAAGTGCAAATTTTCTGCCACCGGGTTCCACAATTCTTTCAGTCTTTCATTACAATCTTCTAAAATAAAATTCAAGAAAAATTCCCTGCAATATGTTTGATGTATGAAGCTTGTAAGTGCAAATTTCCTGCCACCGGGTTGTGTCCAATGAGTTTACCTAACTGGCTGAAAAGTTGTAACAGTGCATTTATAGATACGAACTGTAATACTTTGCTACATTTTCCACAGTTTCTACACTTTCATCAACAAATATCGGGAGTTTCTAAAACGCCGAATTCTAAAACGCCGAAAAGCCGAAATGCCGAAAAACCATCTTAGAGTAACAGAATAAAAAACGGAATAAGAGCAATGAATTACCGGTAGTCAACCCCCGCGTTATTAATGTTTAAATTATTGTTTTAAATTTAAAATTTAAAAAAATTCAAAACATGTAAAATTAAAAAATAAAAAGCAGCAGTAAATTTTGTTTTAAAAGACAGAACCAAAAGCCAAATTTGGCTTTGGCTTTTGTCCTTTTAAACTTTGCATTTACAAATACGCAATAAAAAATCCGGGGGATATTTAACTTTTCGTTGTCTTTTTTGACGGTTACCGAATTCTATTATTACGCTATTTTTTTCGGCATTTCGGCGTTTTAGAATTCGGCGTTTTAGGCGATCCCACAAATATCATCAATGTAGTTATTGCATGCTTTCTTCACGGTTGGGTTTACATTGAACACGTGGCGAAAAATCGTGGTCATTATTGATGGAGCCACATTGATGCTAAAACGAATTCTATTATAACAATACCGTTTCCCATTTATATTTGCCATTTGATATCGCCAATATTTTTTATCAATGTGAACGTAGTCTTTTTTAAGATCAAGAATTTTTGCATCTTTAATTTTTCTCCAACAACGCGGTTTCTCTTGACAAACACCCGCATTTGCTGTGAGCTCTTCTCCCTCTGGAAGTACCTTTTTGCTTTTTATTTTTTTTGCACAACGCACATAAGTGGTATCAATTCTTTATGTTGTCTAAATACTAGTTCGTTATATGGTACAGAGTTGATTCATTAATTTTTTTTCCAGTAACACCACGTTCTTGTTTATGGTTCGCCTTTTTGCAAGTGGTATTATTAACTTCACTCCAGTTCCGCGATGCCGTCCGCTCTTTATCGCCAAATTTTACCGTGAAGCCCTGATGTTATATTTCGTTCTCTTTACTTATTAGTAGGATTATACCCATTAAATTAGCAGGATTATACCCATTAAATTTTAAACTTTCAAAATATTATGTTATGCGTTAATAATTTTTGTTGAAGTTTTACACGGCCTTATAATAATAGATTTGGTTAACTTTTATTAGGTTGTCCGGTAAAAAAATTTTAATGTCGGGTCCTATCTTTATTCGGAGAATCAAAGATAGGACCCGACATTAAATCAAGTTGTTTTTACACTTCAAATCATTTGAAGTGTAAAAACAACTGTTCGCAGCTAGAAAAAAAATACTTACGGAAAAAAAATTTGTTTACACCCTTATATACTTTTTATTTAATACTGACTAAAAAACACGTTTTAAACGTTTATTATGTTATTGTAAAAAGATAACCGATAAAATTATATGTATAAAAAGTTTGTGCAACGTCGCCACTGTTTTACTGTTGCATAATTTAGTTTTTAACACATTTAAATTAAATATGTTTTCTTGTCAGTATAACGAATCCAACAAGCTAGAAAGAAATATTTAAAGTGATATTTGTTAAATAAATAAAGTGATATTTGTTAAAATACTTGTTTTTATTTTTTTTATTTAGTATACCATTTTTTTGATTTTATGTTTGCATTTGATATCTTTATGTATTTGAAATATTTGTTAAAGAATTAGAAATTTTATTCGACCCCAATAGGTCTTAATAGGTTTTTCTTTTATCCATTTAAACTTTCAGTTTGCTTTCTGTCACTTTTTGACCCTTATATAAATTAAAATGCAAATATCATTTCCATATTTTCTTTTTGCACTATGTGATTATCTTTTGCATTTATTATTTGACTGTTTCTTTATGTATATATATGCATGTGTGTTTGTACCCAGAACAATCGTTGGACGTCTCAAGGAAGCCCTACGGACTTGTGACCTCTTTAAGACGTTGTGTCCGCTGTGTGTGTGTATGTGTGTGTGTGTGTGTGTATATATGTATATATATATATATATATATATATATATATATATATATATATATATATATATATATATATATATATATATATATATATATATATATATATATATATATATATATAAACAAAAATATTTATGCGTTTAGGATGAAATCGGCTGCATCTCTTAGGGATAGTTTATCGCTGACTGCAGGAACCGTCAATATAACAAATATGAAGGAATTTATTGAATTGTTGGCAAAAAATATTTTTAAGAGTAAATTTTTTAATAAAAACAAGATCCATTTTAAATTATGATTTTATTTTTCACTCACTTTTTACTTTTAATGCTTTTAAACGTTCTAATAACGGCGGATGAGAATAGTGGTAAGATGAATAAAGTTCATCAGCTACAGGAAACCCAAGGTTTTCTTTATTTAATTTCATAAGTGCTGATTGAAGCTGTTTTGAGTAAGATAGACTTTTGGCAAACTCATCGGCTTGAAATTCGAAACGCCGGCTTAAAACAGTCATTAGAAATCCAACAAGCTAGAAAGAAAGAAAAATATTCTAGTTAATATAGATGCCAGTCAAACTAGGGCTGTAAATCTTGGATCGTGTTCGTGAACGGCTCGACAAGAGCTCGTTCATGTTCGACTCGAATGGTAAACGATCCGGGCTTGAACAAAAAATTAGGCTCGTTTAATTAAACGACCCGAGCTTGAACATCATAGGCTCGATTAAAGCTCGAATATATATATATATATATATATATATATATATATATATATATATATATATATATATATATATATATATATATATATTTTAATATAAATTATATATATATATATATATATATATATTTTAATATAAATTATATATATATATATATATATATATATATATATATATATATATATATATATATATATATATATATATATAATTTATATTATAAATATATATATATTTTAATATAAATTATATATATATATATATATAATTTATTTATATTATAAATATATATATATATATTTTAATATAAATTATATATATATATAATTTATTTATATTATAAATATATATATATATTTTAATATAAATTATATATATATATATATATATATATATATATATATAATTTATTTATATTATAAATATATATATATATATATATATATATATATTTTAATATAAATTATATATATATATATATATATATATATATATATATATAATTTATTTATATTATAAATATATATATATATATATATTTTAATATAAATAATATATATATATATATATATATATATATATATATATATATATATATATATATATATATATATATATATATATATATATATATATATATATAATTTATTTATATTGTAATAATATATATGTAATAAATAAAATTGTGATATTATATATATATTAGTATATAATAAAAATATAGTGCTAGTGTAACCGTATAAGATATGACCCATATAACTCTTATTACACTAAATAATTGATTAATATAAACAATTTAATTACGTGAGGCTCCTATTGACTATTGTCATTTGCCAACAGGCCCAATATGTTTTAGACCATTTTTAATGGATTTAAGAGGGATCTTATTTCATTATGTTGTTAATTTGCATGTTTAATAGACTGTAGGATTATTTATGTTGTTTGTTGATATGGATTTGCATTAATTGCAGACGAGCCTTTAACGAACAATTTTTTTTTACTAAACGTGCTTTAAACTAACAGGTTACAAGAATTATTTCGAGTTTTAAACCAGACGAGCTCGAGCAACATGTAAAACGAGCCGAGCCCAAACAATACTAATCCTTAACGAGCCGAGCTCGAACAAAGAATCTCATGTTCGAAACGAGCTCGAGCCGAGCCTGAACACTCTTAATATGTAAACGAGCCGAGCCCTGGCAAGCTTGGCTCGTTCGGCTCGATTTACAGGCCTAAGTCAAACGGAGGGTCAGAAATATTTCTAAAATCTTTTAAACGAGATGGTCGGACTTTTAAAAAAGTTTGAAATTTTTAAAACAAGAACAATTAACCAAGCATAGTGTTTTCATTAAATGAATAGCAAATAGTTTTATTCGTTTAACGAGTAGTACTACTAATATAATATAAACTAAATTAATATTATATTAGCTACCTTAAATTTTGCATGGTTATAACTTATGAACACCAAAAGATTAAATTTAAAACCTATTGATGAATTTAAATTTAGAGAGTAAAAATGAAATGGGATTTTCGTTTTTTACCTTACTCAAACGCTATTTAAAGAGAAGACCTTGCATTGTAGTTTAATGTTGATATTTAAAGTACCACTAGTGTTCTTCAAATGAAGGTGGTCAGAATGAAGACGACGGTTATTACGTCACATCATCGTTTTGGAAACCTTATTTTTCTTATTTAAGATGCAAGAACACATTACATTGAAGTTTTATTATTTGTTTGTTTTTTAACGGTTTTTTACATTACTTGAATAACGAGGGTATATAATAATCCCTAGAAATCAATCAATATATTTCGATAGCAGATCTTACAATCGAGGTCATTTACGAATAGTTAAAAACTAATCTTAAGTAAATACCATGAAATAGTGTTAATAATATTAATAATATTGATAATAATGATGATGATAAATTAACATTTATAAATCTTACTAATCGTAAGTAAATACCTTAAAAAACAATTTATATATATATACAATTAATCTTAGTAATAATAATAATTATTATTATTATAACAATAATAGCAAGAATAATAATAACATTAATAATAAGGCAATTATAATAATTTAAATAAAACGGTATTACTTTTCATACAGCAATTATTTTTACATGCAAAGTTAGTTACAAACAGTAATAAAATGACAAAACGTAACAACTAACGATGACATAAAAACTGCTAAAAAAATTATAAAGATTTAGTAAATATATTAATATAATCATAGTTGTTAAAATATAATAATCAAAATATATTGCAAATATTATGACCAAATAAATAAAATATAAGCAAAAAAACACTGAGAAAATCAAAACAAAACAAATGTTACAACAAACATTACGAACTAAGCAAAAAATTACCTTTGGCAAAAAAAAAACAAAAAAAAAAAACAAACAAAAAAAAAATTTAAGATTAAAAAAAAACAATTAACATACACGTAAATAATAATACACGGTAGAATAAAACATATATAATAAATAGCTAAAATGAAAGTAAAAACAAATATTATATAACTGTATAAAAAATTTATATACCACTAAAAATAAATAATAACTAAAAAAAACAAAAAATAAATGACTAACAAAAAATAATAAGTAAAACTATTATTTTTTGTTAGTCATACGTTAAAAAACTGAAGAAAATCAATAATAATAAAATAAATAACCCTATGAAATATATGAAAGAAAACTAAAGAAATATGAAAAAAAAAAAAAAAATCTGATTTGCCGTTCGAGGTTCCGCTGTTTAAGTAGTTTTTTTTCTTTCTTTGCCATTCTTTTTATATATTTATTCATTAACGTTTTTGTAACTTCTATTTTCATTACTTTTTTACTTATTTTCTTTCAGATATATATTTTTTTTCTTCTAAAAGATTTATTCATTCTTCTTTTTTGTTGATTTAATTTTTCGTTTAATCTATAAATGTTTCCTTTACCTTTTTTTTTTATAAGAAATAATAATAAGAAAATTATATAAAAATAAACCAATATTAATTTTTAAACAGTTGAATATTATGCACAGACAGGAAAGTTACAAACAGTTATGTCCTGACAAAACGTAACCTAATATGTAACTAAAACAATTACTGGAAAAAAAGTAACAAAGATTTAATAAATATAATAATCTTAATATCAATAATAATAAAAACAAAAGTAATATAAATATTTCATTAAAAAATAATAATTAAACAAAAAAAATTCTCAATAACATTCACAAATAAAAATGTGTCTCATTTTCTCAATAACATGTCTCATTCTCAATAACACGCACAAATAAAAACGTGTGATATTTAGTCACAAAAATACAAGAAATATTGTATTTTAATATAAAGAATTTTATAAGGATAAGTTTACATACTATAACAGATGTTTTAACTTAATTAAATATTGATATTTGTATTTTGATTAAAATTAAAAAAAAAATTTTACGAGTATAGCATATAACTATTTTATGCTTGTTAGTATTTTTAAACTGAACTAGTAGTATTCATATTAACAGTGCTGATATTTTAATCTTTATCTACTGATATTTGTTTGTAAGATTTGTTTCAAAGAAAAATTGTTTTGATTATTAGAAAAAATGTTTTTTGATATCAAAAAATCATAATATGGGGAGAGGGGGTTGATAATAAAATGAGGGAGTGAGTCTCATTCAAATTTTGATAAAATGGTGGGGAGGGTCGGTATAAAACGAATTTGGGGGTAAAAATTTTAAAAAAATACAATTAAATTACCTCTGCTACAATTAAGCGCAAGAGAGTAAGCATGGATTTGTTTAAAGTTGGAGTTCTCGCGATGATTAGGAGTTTTGTATCTGAAATATCAAAAAATCCTGCGTCCGCCACTGGGTTTTACAAACACAATTCCGGAAAATTTTAAACGTGTTTGTAAAACCCAAAATACTTTGAAAATTATTTCCAAATTGAAATAGATGCTATAAATATTTTTGGTAAAATTTGGATACATGCTATACACGAAGAATCACATCACGAAGAATCAAAAAATTCATAACAACGTTAATTTCACAGATATTAATAAAATTCGGAATCTCTCCGGAATTATGACGCGATTGAAAAACTTGACTGCACAACTAAAGCTATACTTGTTTCAGAAAAGATTCTTTTGGTTATAGTTTCATAAAACCAAAAATTAGGCAAATTTATGAAACCACATCAAATCTAATGCAATGTCAAACATAAAATATTAGAGTTTTACTTACAATTTAATTGCCTCTCGTTTTATTATTTAATTTAATTATCTCGTTTTTAAATACAAAAAAAACTTCTTCTAAAAATAGTATGATGATCATCATCATGACGACAGGTGATCACGTTGATCATTATGACCATTTGTACAACATATTTATAAAACACATATTTTAACTTATCTTACCTCATTATAAGGAGAAAATATAAACTGAAACACAATAAGAAGTCCAATAAGTGTTGGTTCCTGACTATAGAATCCAAAGCTTTTATATAATGTTTTGTTATCCATAAGTAAACCAAACACAAAAAATGTAAGAATTAAATTTATCTAAAAAAATATATATATATATCATGTAAATGAAATGTTTATTTAAAAAAATATTATTTAATATCAAGATATAAAAACCTGGCTTATGATAAGATTTTTTAAAGTGTGATTCAGCTTCCAGTGTCCTAATTCATGACCAATTACTGCTAATATTTCTTCGCTAGTACAACCTTTATCATTATCGTTTGCCTAATATAAATATAAATATTTCTAAAAAATATTAAAATTAGGGTTAAGCTTACTGATATCAGTAAAATTGTTTTATCAATTTACCAGTAAAATTGTGTTTATAAATTTAGAAAATATAGTTGTTTTTTTTAATATTTATTACAAGACGTACGAGTTTACTAATGCTGTTGATATTAGGGACGTCTTATTAAAAGCTTTATGCTATTTAATGCTCAAGCATTTGGAATTGAAAAGTACAATCTCTCAAAATTGATCTGTCATTATAGACATGATTGAAGCATTTGGGATTGAAAAGTACAATCTCTCAAAATTGATCTGTCATTATAGACATGATTGAAGCATTTGGGATTGAAAAGTACAATCTCTCAAAATTGATCTGTCAATTTAAAGAGAGGCAGAGACGTTTGACTCTTCAAACGTCTCTGTCTCTCTTTAAATCATGTCTATAATGACATATCAATTTTGAGAGATTGTACTTTTCAATCCCAAATGCTTTAATCATGTCTATAATGACAGATCAATTTTGAGAGATTGTACTTTTCAATTCCAAATGCTTGAGCATTAAAGAGCATAAAGCTTTTAATATGCTTTTAAAATCTGTTTTTTAAAAGACTTCCTGCCATTCAGATGATTTGGAATTTCTTCAAGAAATGTATAGCGCAAAAAATCTTGATAATATCACTTAAATATCACTTAAGCACTTAGAGACAAACTTGAGTAAACAATAAAGCATTTGTAAAAAAATGGCGCCACAATTCAAACAAGTCTGTTTTAAAAGAAATGTTGAATTATGAAGCAAACAAAAAAAGAACTACAAATCTTAAACTTCTGTTTAATGTACTGGTGACCATCCTTTCCACTAGTATAAAGTCTTAAAATAAAAATTGATCTATTATGATTGGTGATTTATTTGATACACTTTAATTCCTCAAAAAATTACCTTTGAAAAAAAATCTCAACCTTATTGTATTTTTACTTATTTTTTTGTAGTTTTTTATTTAAGACCTTTTATATTTGTTTCTTTTACCAATTTTAACAATAGGTTTTAAAGTCAATATAAACCCTAATTAAAATCATCTCAATTCTATATAGATTTTATTTTACATACTTTAGGCTGCTAATAAAACAACATCTTTAAAACAAGTTTAAAACAAATAATAGAAATAATAAATTTAAAAAAAAAAGAAACAATATAATAAAAATACATAAACAAACATTATTATTATTATTATTATTATTATTATTATTATTATTATTATTATTATTATTATTATTTTGTTACCTAATAAAGAAAAATCGCTAAATTATTTCCCCTTGTTAGCAATCCTCAAAAAAAAAAAACTTTAGCTTTTTTTAACTATTTTTTTTTTAAATGTAAAATATTAACTTATTTACATTTTTTTCCAGATTAGGAAAAAAAGTAGTCAATGATCTTAAAGAATAAAGCAATAACATACAAGTAAAGAAAACTTATTCACAACAAGGGTTCATAAAAAAAGAAACTCATACTTATAATATTAATTTTAAAAATAGGAACTTTATAAAATTGATAAACAAAAACCTTTTCTTGTTCTTCCTTTGCTTCCTCAGAAACATTATCATTTACTTTTTTCATCTTTTTTTCTTCTTCAAAAGGACTTACAGAAAGAAGAGTGTCAAACAGAACAATTACCTTTAATTCAAAAAAATAACTTTCAAAAAGATTAAAAAAACACTCAAATAAAAAGAAATAATATTTTTAACTACCTTCTTTTTGTACAAACCAAAAAAATATGCATTGCTGTGTGATGATCGTTTTGAGCCTTCAACTACAAGAATCTTTGAAAGTGGAAAATTTACACGTTTTGCAAGGTCTTCAATAATTGTTCTTAGGTGACCTTCTGGCAAGGGAATATAACGATCAAACAATGGTGCTATGTAATCATGGTAGATAGCAATCATAAACTATATTTAAAAATACTGGAGATGAGAATTAAATTAACATGTACCATAATATAGAAATTTTAAAGTATGAAAAATTACCAGGGAAACACCTAAAGCAAACAACCATGTGTAAATAAAGAAATATTGTCCTCCCCATTTGATGATCCAAATAAGAATGCTTGTGACAGGTAAAGAAATAGCAGTTGTAACAACTAACTTTTTTACAAGATCTTTGAAATAAAAACCTAATGTCTAAAGATATAAAATATAAATTCAGGTCAAAGAAGATAATAAGCTTTGAATAATGCATATAGATAGTTTTTGTTGATGTAATAATAATTTATTTTTTTATACATTATGATGATCATCATCATCATTATATAACTATTTCTGTGAAAAAAAGTAAAGCTAAATCTTTTCTATAGCCTATTCTTATTATTCTCAAAAGCGTTTTTTCTGCATTAACAGAAACAGAATGTACATTAAATATATTACAATATGCTAAATGAAAACTTTTCTATAGTTATGTTTGATATTTAAAATATTGTTATTAGTATAAATTTCTACATAAAAATACATTTAAATAAATAATTAGGAAATTCAGAGAGAAATACAGCTATTTTTTCATGGTAATTTTTGTATTTGGTACTATTATATTTTTTAACATAAACCATGAAAAAATAGTGCATAAATCACCTTAATAATTTTTAACAACCCAACAAATAAAAAATATTAAAATACACAAGATTAATACTTTACATCTTTTCAAGGATTTGTTGTCTGAAATTGTTACTAAGAGACTAATGATATAAATAATATGTAAATATTATTTTTTATATAAAATTTTCATATAGTAATATTAGTGTTTTTAAAACAATTATTTTTAAAGAAAAAAATATGTAAGTTAAATCGTTTTCAAAGTATTGTATTGAACATTACATGTACATTTTTATGAGAATTTAACAGAAGTTTAAATAAATTAAACAAATTTTTATTATCTTTGTTTATTTGACTCAATAATCAATAAAGAGCAAATTGTCTATTTTTAATTTTTTTGAAATCAAAAATGAAGCCAACTAATTTAGCCAATTTTTTTAGTTAGTTATCATTAATAATATAAGCAGGTACTAAGATAATATAATCAGGTACTAAAATAATATAATCAAGTAAATATAAATTTTGAAAAACATTTGAGTTGTTCATCATTTTTTTAATCCTCCTTGCCTGGATTATTTTACTATTTGTATTCTGTTTGTATTTGTAAAAAGTGTTTGAAATGAGGCAGGATGAGCAGGAATGACATCCTGACTCATTTTTATCAAGCATAAGTGATTCTTCTATCTTTTAATAACTCTCTTAATATAAAACAATTAGAAAAAGTGTAAATAAAATATAATATAAACCTGTTTATTGAAACCATGACGTTCTTCAATAACAAAATTTGAATAAAGTTTCCAAGGAAGACTAGTTACTGTGCTAAAAAGTGTTGAAAGCACTAAGAAAACACAGGATTGCTTAATCTAAATGATAGATAATAGATAATTTGATAATACCTATTTTATTAATAAACCTTATTGTTAAACTTAGTCATGGTTAACATAAATAAAAAATAAACCTCATGTGTAGCATCAAATCCTAAGGCTTCATTAAGTGAACCTGATACAGCCCACAAAAATGGCAATCCACCAAATAGCAAAATGACCTAGCATAAATAATAAACATAAAATTTATACACTCAAAATTAGTAAAAGATTAAATTAAAAAAAAAAAAAAAGTTTATATAATTTTAACAAGTCTTTACATTCAATCATCCTAAAATAATCAACATTAATACCGTTAACTCTAACTGTGAATAAATTGATGATACAAAACCGAACTTGGATCTATCAACTTGATAAAGTCGTGACTTCTCGAAGGTTTGTTTATCTAAACTATCTTTGAGCTCCACAGGAATATCTTTAGTGTTAAGATAAACTTTGTGCTACAAAAATTTAAAAAATATTGAAGCAGACAAAAAATGTTTTATTTAAAAGAAAAAAAGAAAACTTTAGCTTTAACTATGGGTGACCACAGGACTAGTTTTTACCTAGGAGAAAACAATATTACAATAAACTTGTTGTTGCATTTGAAAAAAAATAATAATCACCCTTTTAACTAGGGTAATCTATAGGGTCTGACAGCTGCTCCTTAAAAAATTAATTTTTATCTTTGAAAGCTGTTCATAATTATTGCATATTAGTCTAAAAATCCTGTGAAATTTCATGAAGATTGTGCAATTTTCGTGGTAGTTCCGACCTTGCAAAGTTTTTGCTTCTCTGTTTAGCCAGCACTTTTGGGCTTGCCCACAGACCCGCAAAAACTATGGCGAGTGCATAAAAAAGTGCTTGCCATAAAACTAATAGCATTTTGTTTTAAATTGCAACAAAACTTTTTTGTTCAACTTGCGCAACTTTTATGAAAAATTGCTAATTTACGAGTTTTTTTTTTAATTATTTTAATTTATAAATGTATATAATTATTTTAATCATGTAAATGGACTTTTGAAATGATAAGTCTTGCCCAGGCAGTAGCTCTTGTGAGGATGAGAATATTGAAGAAGTTACCACCAGAGCACAGAATAGGAAACACGGGAATTGTTAAATGTGTCATTGATAAATTGAAATTGGATGCTATCATTCAAAATTGCACCAGCATTTTTAGATGATAGCATCCAATTTTCTAGATAAAAAACTTATGAACACTCTTGATTCCAAAGTAACAGATGACCGATTGCCAATTCTTGTGCCTGGAACTGACGAAACAAAGCTCCTTGGTGTTCCCTCGCATCCAAAATCAACTTAAAAAACTGTTAGATTCTTGGAGACATTATAGCAAAGGTAATTAAAAAACTTCTTAGAGAATGAAAGTGTCAAGAAAATGTTATTGGCATGTTTTTCAATACAACTTCATAAAATACAGGTAATTAATTAAATACAAAATATCTTAATGAAAATAATACAACTACATTGTAATTATATACATTTTCAGAAAAGAGCACCTTGTAAGTCTTGATTTATTCCCCATTAGTTTATAAGCTTTTTTTATATTTTTAAAGCTCCTGAATACCAAAAACTAGAAAGAAATAATCTTTTTGTGACTTTCAAATCTGGAGTCTTTTTTTGGGACTCTGCATACCTGCCTGTGAATGACTTGATTTTAGTGTAAAACTTGGCAAAATTTGCTCAGCATGGCTCAAGTATTTTTGAAAATGCTCAGTTGGCAAACTTGGTACTTATCTGAGAATTTTATTCTGTTAGCACTGTTCTCATCTATGATAGTAATAGAAACTGAAGATAAAATGAGGAAATCGATTTTTATCTTTAAAAAAACTTCTGCAAGCCTCGGCAGGAATAAATGAACACGAGAGTGGAAAAAAGCTCTCCTAAAATACGGCAAACTATGCAAGCTATTCTTCTAAACAGCTTCTTACAAGTGCATTCGGTTTATTATTTGATTCATTTGGTTGGCTTACTCCTTAAAAAAATTGCTTATTAAATACAAAATTTGGTTTTACACTTTTTTTAAACAAAAGGTTGCAATGTTAATTACGAGAATATATATCATTTATTGCACTGCGAAAATATTCTTTGCGTTGTCTTTGGGTTTTAACACTAGCTATCCATTTATTTGTTAATAACATTACTTATTTTATTAAAAACTTGACAAAAAGCTATAAAAGTTTTTATTGCTTATAAAAACCTTTTTATATTTTCTTATTGTGACAGTATTCAGGCATTTTAAGAATTATTACAATTAAAAATTCCACAATAAGAGAATAATATATTAAAGTAAATAATATATAAAATATATAATTCAGTAAATAAAATAAAAATTATTATACAATAATAAAGTGTAATAACTTTATATTTTATCAGTTAAATAAATTTATATCTCATTTTTAATTAATTAATTATTTTATATCTCTATAAATTAATTAATTAATTTATAGAGATATATATAAATTAATTAATTAATTTATATCTTATTTTAGTTACAACGATAATTATACTACTTTATAGAGATAAAATTATTCTACTGCAAGAACCGTAAATTGCTCCTGTAAACCATTTTAAAGGAGTGTGGGCGAGATGCGAGAGCTAAAGCACTTGCTTCCTGCCAAGGCTTCTGTAACAAAAGAGTTTGATTCAACTTTTTTTGTTACGGAGGAAATCCAATTTTATTTTTGTTTCAAAAATAAAAATGGATTTCCTCATTTCCTGTTCAGCTTCTACTACTATCATAAATATGGGGGATATGGCAAGTCCTACTACTACTCATTATCTCAAAACATAGTGAACAAAAGTTTAAATGGAAATAATCAAAAGTTTAAATGGATATAATCAATATAAACATAGTGAACAAAAGTTTAAATGGATATATGTCAATAACTTCTTTACACTTAAAGTTGTAGCTCTTACTTAGAAACATTATTCAGCATAAAATTTGCTATTATATATACAAGCATATATATGGTTAATAAGATTTTAGAGGTTTTTTGCAATTAAATTTTCCCCCAAAAAAAGTTCACAACGCGCAATTAATTAATTTTAAAATAATATACTAGTAAGTTACTAAATATAATAGCATATGTAAAAGTTAAAATATATTAAAACTAACTAGTAATATTATAACTAGATTAAAACTAACTGAATTTTACTAAAGGTATAATATTAGCAACAATGTTGCTAATATTATACCTTTAGTATGTTGCCAACATACTAAAATATTATATATATATATATATATATATATATATATATATATATATATATATATATATATATATATATATATATATATATATATATATATATATATATATATATATATATATATATATATATATATATATATATATATATATATATATATATATATATATATATATATATATATATATATATATATATATATATATATATATATATATATATATATATATATATATATATATATATATATATATATATATATATATATATATATATATATATATATATATATATATATATATATATATATATATATATATATATATATATATATATATATATATATATATATATATATATATATATATATATATATATATATATATATATATATATATATATATATATATATATATATATATATATATATAATATATATATATATATATATATATATATATATATATATATTATATATATATATATATATATATATATATATATATATATATATATATATATATATATATATATATATATATATATATATATTATATATATATATATATATATATATATATATATATATATTATATATATATATATATATATATATATATATATAT